AAATAGGAATAATCACAGTCCTGGAAAACAAAACATACTGCAGGAGAAAACAGGTCAGCAACAAATGTGATATGTTAAACTTCAGTTTCTGTACTCCATCCTTATTTAATCATCTGGTTAAGGAGATCTGGTGTTCCCCTCCTAGCTGAATTTTTAATTACAGTTATGAGCACTAGGCTCTATATTGGAGTTTACAGATCTGATGTAAAAGTCTGTGATACCTATAGTGAATAGCACTGTTTATTGTACATGTTTGATAGTGGATATTTGATATTGGTCACAGCATTTGGATGCAATGACAGTGAGCAATACTTTTTACCTTTAAAATAATCGCCCCCCTAAATTACCACCTCATCACAATACAATAATTATTTCAACTGTGACTACTGTTATTATGTGCTAGTGTTGTGTACCATTACCGTAGAGTAATCTTAGTACTGCTTTTTGTTGGTCAAGGCCAGAAGTTAAATAAAGGGAGTCTTGGCATTGTGTGGCAGCGGAAAAACTTGACGTGTCTAATTGCACTGTGTTTTTATAGTGTTGCTCCTATTTTCTTTTGAGGATTTGGTGTAAATGTGAAATTTGCTAATGAAGTGTTACGATTAGTATTCTTGTGGGGGATATTTTTGTATATGATTTGATTACTTGACCTACTAAAGCATACTTGTAACCCAGTGTCATTTTGGCTTAATTGTATAGGTTCTTTTGGTGATTCCAAAGTTAGTCCAGAGAATTATCTGAAATGGCTGAAGGATTACTGTGAAGCCTTTTATTATGGCCTGATGGTAAAAACCCTGGACCCAGTTCCTGTTTCACAGACAGCTTGTGCTTTTCGGGTAAATGAGTACACGCATAATCTCCAGATTCATGCAGGTATGTGGGGAGGGAACCAGCAATGTGAGGCTGGGAACCTTCTTATTGCAAAAGTGCTAGGTTAGCAAAAAACCCAAGCAAACGGTGTTCATTCACAGTAGATATTAGAGGTACAAGAAGAAAACATTTTAACATGATATGGTGCTCAACCTCTGCAGTAATAGGCCCTGTAGTGTCGGCCAAAGACAGATCGGCAACTGCATGTTCCCTGGAAGTAGGTCTGCAGAACAAACGTGGCTGATAAAAGGCCATCCGTGGTTAGGTATCGAGGGAAGAGGTTTGCCTTAGACGTGTGAGCACAGGTCTAAGACTCGGTGAACCAGCGTCCAACTCCCAGCTCTCCGAGCTGACCTGAGTCTTCAGCCTTTATTCATATGAACAAGTTCACTGCTGTTGGAGGGTTTACTTATACAAAGGAAGGCAACCAGATCATAGTTTGAAAAGCAGCTGACCTACTCTGTTATACCCAAATAACATGGGCCTTTTGGTAACCAAACTCCCCATGTCAAAGGAATGGTCAGATAGCCAAACTGTCTTTTGTGGACGCCTGGTTATTTAAAACTAACATGTTTACTCGGTGATTCTAGAGGTCAAAATGATGTTAAACCAAAATGCATTTTATATGCATATGGTTTTGAAAAGCTTCTTGACCCAGAGAATGTGACTTGTGGTGATCTCTGTTGTGTGACTTGGTTCAGTGGGAATTTCCTGACACCTCCGCCCTCCTAAAGGCCTTTCTGCCTCTAACAACTTTTTGCTACTAACAATTTGTAGTAGATTCAAGCATCTATTGTTATTATCAGTCTGACTGCTCTGGTAGAATAAAAACTCACTACCCTGAAGTAACCTAATTCCTTATGGATCCAGTCTTGCAAGCAGAACTCCTTAAATAATTTTATGCGCATGAAAGGCTTGGAGGACTTGACTGCTTTAGCTGCATTAGATCCTCCTGTTCAATAGTGTGGCTTGACTCCTCTGTGCTAGACTTATTGCTGCTTTCCTGTGTGGTGTATAATGCTTTCTCCTGTTTCATACAGGGGATCTTCTGCAATTCCTGAAGAAGAGGAAACCCAGGGATGCTTTCTGTATTGTGGGAATAACCATGATAGATCTTTATCCAAAGGAGTCTTGGAACTTTGTCTTTGGACAAGCTTCTTTGACAGAAGGTATTTCAATTTTACGTTAAGATTATATATGTAATAAGAAAACCTAAAATGACTTCCAAAAGATCAGTTACCAGCACAGTAATAACGCACATCAAATACAAATTTATATGGAAAATATATGGAGAGGTATTCAGTGGAATTGCTATACATTTTATGGGCATGTGTTTTTTTTAAGTGTGTGATACAGTGCTAACTCATTAAGTCAAAGATCAGTATGTTTTAGGCAGTCAAGCAGTGAAAAAATCAGTAGTCTTGATTAAACTGCTGTTAAGACATTATTCATAACCTAAAATACTTATTTTTACTTCTGTGCCAAGTGCTGCTTAGTAAATAAACAGCCCTAAAGGGTTTTGGTTTTTTTCCATAGACTTACCTATGAGTTACAGAAATATCAAAAAACCCCAAGCTTATGTTTTCAAGATAGTTTTCAAGATATGTTTTCAAAATATTTTTTTTCATGACCTACTGATGAAATAAGGCAATTTTTAAGCAAAATAAAGTATGAGAATAAAGGAAGGGTGGAACATGGGACCTCATGCTGCCGTCAGACTTAAGTCCCAGAGCAGTCTTAAATGTGTATATTATTTTTTCTCTCTCCCCCCCACCTTACAAAACACTTCTCTCTAGAGTATTAATCCGTAATATTTTTCTCTAAAACCACTGAATCTGGCTGTAATAGTATATTACATGCATGATTCCTGTTGATTATACTAGCAGTTTAGGCCACAGGAGAAGATTTTCAGATGGACAGTTGTGGTTTTTTCTTTTCTTTTTCCTTTTCACAACATTGCAGGGTGATTAATTCAAATGAGGCATCAAAATTCCACTAGTAATTGCGAACATGAATGTGAGGAAAGGAGCGTGTAAACTGTTTGGCAGACCTGAGTCATCCCAGCCTTTCCTTGGTTAGTATGAATCAGCTGTGCCACATAAATCATTCATGTCCCATTCTCTGTGGAGACTAGGGCAGTGCCATGTCCTTATGTCTTCGTTACTTAAGACCCAGAAGGACAAATACAACCTAGGTATGTTCAGTGCCCCCTAGGTTGTCTTTTAGAGGGATCTGTTCTACCAGAGCCATTCATAGCAGATTGCTCCATCTTGATTTCTGTAGCAGTTTTGATTGAACCTTTCAGCCAAATCAGCACCAAAGGAATATACTGCATTTACTAGTTCCATATCCATGCTCATATTGTAAAATCCCTTTTCACATAATCTATGACCCAGATCTTGAATTCAGATCTTGTAATGCAATTCAGTCATTATAGTCTTACAATTAAGGCAGAAGACCGACAGTCAAGACTTGACATAAGGAAGCATTTCTTCACTGCCTGAGCCCCCAAGGTCTGGAATAGCCTGCCACCGGAGGTGGTTCAAGCACCTACATTGAATGCCTTCAAGAGACATTTAGATACTTATCTTGCTGGGGTCCTGTGACCCCAGCTGACTTTCTGCCCCTGAGAAGTCATCCGAGGTCTTCCGAGGTCCCTTCCAGCCCCAATGTCTATGAAATCTATGAACCTGCTTTGTTTCTGACTTTACCTGTAGCCTTGGGCAAGTTATTTAAACTTTCTGTGCCTTAGTTTATCCCCATATAAAATGTGGACTGTTGTACGTAATAACCTTGGGGAAGTTGTAAATAATGTCTGAAAGGCAAAAGCAAGCTCCTTGAATGAAAAGCACTGTACAAGTTCAATATAGTATTAGCAGTACAAGTCCTATTTGTCTATGCAGAACGTGATGTTTTATGAGATCCCTTTTCTCATGCAAGATTGTATTAGGTAATCAAGTCAATGGCAGTTGTTTAGTTTGGGGATCGGCAATGTTTTTGGTGTGAATGCCAAAAAGCCGTACAACCTTGACTTGGAAGATGTTGACGTGCCAGGGTGGATGGCTGGGGAACCGCGAGGGGCCCGATCCTTGTTGTGCCAGTGCAGCCCTGGCCCCTTCCCTGCCCCTGTCAGCAATGAGCTGGGCTGCGGCTCTGGACCCCAGTGTACCGGTTGCAGCCTCATGGTTGCCTGCTATGAGCAGCCCAGGCTCTGGGCAGGCTCCTGCCGCCTGCCATGGAGCCCCGCCTGCTCGCAGTAGGGCTTGCAGCCTCCCCACCACCTGCTGTGAGCAGCCCAGGCTCTGTGGTTGCAGCTGCACATGCGCCTCTGGGCACAAGGCAGGGAAGGGGTCTCATAGCTGGGCTCTGGGCAGGCCCCTGCTACCTGCCCCTGACCCCCAGGCCACTTCCAGCAGGGCTTGCAGCCTCCCTGTTACAAGCAACTTAGGCTCTGTGGCTGGTGGCACTTGCCCAGAGCTTGGGCTGGCTGCTGCTGAGCAAAGTGTCCTCATGCATCGTGCTCTGGCACGCGTGGTGGGGGTTGCCGCCGACCCCCCATTTTAGATTATAGAAGCAATCCCAACAAAATTGGTGACTTCAAGTAAGCCAGCAAATATCACACGACTACTTCAGATTGTAAGTGAGATTTTACTTTGTGTTGTAAGTATGTTTAAGTTGGGTTTTGAGCAGTCTGGGAAGGTGGCTGTATGGCTTTGTTTTGTTTTATTTTTCAGATCCGTAGCATAAGGGGTGCCAGAGCTCCTTTGGGCAGAAGAGGTCGCTAGTAGCTCATGCAAAATACTTTTTACAGGCTGCTGAGAGCCCTGTGCTTTCCAGGGCAGTAGTCAGTCCACTGTTTAAACAGTGGCCAGCTGGCTCAAAATAGATGAGGGCGGACCTACAGCTCTTCCTCCTTCCTGAGCAATGAATTGAATAGTAAATTAACTGGACGATGTGGAAAGCAAAGGAGTGATTTTCAAACCCAAGATACTGTTTATTCTGAGGTTCGTTTTACTCATAGACCTCAGTATATCTAACACGGCATACACAAAACCAAAAACATCATGGCAAGAGAAATGACCTGCAGGCTTGGTTTATTTTTTTTGTGGAAGCTTGTAACTCCACTGGCCAACATTGTCGATACGTGATTTTTGCATCTCAATATTCATTGAACTACAGTTATGTTATAGAGGGTATATCGTCCAGTTGTTTGAACAAAACCTGATGAATTTTGCTTGAAGCTGGCCATTGTGTTGTCTGGTTACCAGAAGCTCTTTAATTCAAAGGACTGAGATTTAGCAATGAGATGTGTAACTATAAGTGGGTTGTGGCACCTAACATATTTGTACTGGTCCTGAGATACCGGAGTGTAATCATGTCTTTTTTTGATTACCCCACGGCAGCTGCTAAAGTCATGTTAGAATGAATGTCACGTTATTCTTCCTCACTCAAAATAATGTCTGGGTTCTCACAATCTGCTATAGAGAGACAAATGCTTTATGCTGTTGGTAAGCTAGGCATGCTACAAGGACATTGAAACAGTCCTTCACACCTTGTAGTAGTGCTGTTTCAACATTAACAATATAGAAATTTTGGGAGTCTGACCAGAATACGTTTCACTGCACTTATTTTTGTGGCATCTTCTCTAATAGAATAATTTTTTGATTTCTCTCTTCTAAAGGGATGGGGATCTTCAGCTTTGCCAGATATGACAGTGATTTTTATAGTGCAAGCTACAAGGGCAGACTGAAGAGTGGCAAGAAGTATCCTGTAGCAGACTATTCAGTTTTCAGTGGCTATTATACTCCTGCAATTACTAGTTTGCTGCTTCTGAGATCCTGCAAGGTGAGTGCCTGGTGGGCTCTTGTGATTCACTGAAAGCCTTAAAATAACTTAGTTCCTAAGGGCCTAATTCTCCTCCCAGTTATGTAAATTAGGACCAACTAGTGAAGTCACTGGAACTGACCCAGTGAAAATGAAAGCAGAACCTGTCTGTGTCCTCCAGCCCTGCACTTGAGTGGTATTACTATTTATTAGTATTGCTCCTACTACCCTAGTGCTGAGATATCCTTGCTGAAGTCAGATCTTGCCATATTAGGAACTGTACAAGCATGTAAATGGGACTGCCCATGTGCCAAAATGCTTACAGCCTAACTACACAAGCCAGGATAAAGGCAGAAGAAGGGAGGTGGTATAACCCCCATTTGACACCTGGGGAATTGAGCCACAGAGGTATTATGAGTTGCATAGGAAGTCAGTGGCAGTGGTGGGAACTGTATTTAAGCATCTTCATCTTCTTTTGCTTAGAAGTGGTAGCTGTCCAGTACCATGTCTGTGCCCTGCATTGCAAATGAAGCCTTTGTGGATTGAGCCCATTTTGTAGTGGAGGCTGCCAGTGTAGAGGGTGTAGGAAAGAATGGGAAAATACAGATAAAATTAATTGTCCAGGCAAACCTGTGTTTCAGACCTTGACCCATGAGATCGGGCACATCTTTGGACTCCGTCACTGCCAGTGGTTGCAGTGTGTAATGCAGGGTTCAAATCACCTGGAGGAATCAGACCGACGGCCACTGGATCTGTGTCCCATTTGTTTGCGCAAGCTACAGTCTGCTATCCACTTCAACATTGCAGAAAGATATAAGGTACACCAAGAGGTTGGTAATGGAAGTGTTTGTGCTAGGCCTTGGACCAGTGGCTGTCTGGGTCTAACATCCTGCCAGTGTGGAGCGCGTTGGAGCAAATGAAAATCGGCTGCCTGCTGTCGGGTACACCTGGTGACTTGTGCAATACTATATGGCCAGGAACTCCTTACAGAGCGCTGTAGCTGTCAGCCCATGCCCTAGAGCTTGACATTTGAATACCACATAGTCAGCATACATTATGCAGCCCCTGCTAATGCTGCTTTTTTTGCCTTTTAACGATGGTTCTTGCAGGTGTGAATCCCGCAGCCACACACAGTAGGAAGACGTGTTCTCTTGGCTTTGTGCAGTTTAGTGGTAGAAACATTGCTGTGGTGCAATGGCTTATATTTCTGTTCTCTTTCTGCTTTTCTGATCCTCTCCTATGTTACTTACAAGACTAAAAAAATAAAGGATCATATAAGTTCATGTGCAGGAAATTGTGGTCTGAAACTTGCAACAGACTATCAGTGGTGATGCAGAATACTAGCCCTGTGGTTTGTTGGAAGCTAAGTGTTTACTAGTGCTGCTAAGTAGTGGGTAATAGAAGCAGCTATTTACAGAGAATCAGTGCCTTTAAGATGCAAGGCAGAATGCCTTGTTGTGAACACAGTTCACATGTTGAAAGGCTCCTAGCCTGTACAAATGGGGCCCTTGTTGTTCACAATACAAGAAGCAGAATACAGTGAAGAGAGAGAACAGTTTTGGAGTTGGTCATTATTTTAATTTAGTTCTTCTTTGGTGCTTATTTGAAACTAGACCGGTCATTCAACGTGTGCATTTCTTCTAGGCGTTGCTGAGGTGGATGGATGATGGTGGGAGTGGAACGGAAGCTGAATTTGGGCATGCAGCAGAGGTGGGTTTGCCGAAACCAGTGGAAGCATTTAAGGAGTGCCGAGAGTGGGTACTAAAATGTCTGGATGTGCTGCAGAAGTAAAGCACTGGAAAGTAGGTAGCAGCAAAAGGAAATGATCCTTTATTTAACGGATTACTTCCAAGGTGACTACTTCTAAAATCTCTCATTTGATAACGGTCGTCCAGTGTGTTGTAAGCATCTCTTTAAATAAAGCTTCATCCCTGTGACACTTCATTGAAACCATCCTCTCCCAGATGGTAATGATTTCCATGTGACCCTAAAATATTTAGTCTCTGCAATACTTCTATCAGCAAGCAAGATACAGTCTAATCATTATTGCTTTGATATGCAGCAAAACATATTTAACATTTGTAAGTAGACATAGAATATACTTTATAAATGCTTGTGGAGCATTGTGGTGCTTTTTTTTTCATCTAATCCTGTAACACTGTTGAGTCCCTGGTGATAAACATCCAGTGGCCAGAGCCCTAATGGAAAAGTTTTGTTGTTCCTAGAACAACGCAGCAACTGTGGCCTGGTTGTGTTAGTTGTCTGGGCACTGTCAAACATTCAGTGAGAAGATTCCAGTCTGCTAGAAAACCTTACAAGAAAGTTCCTGTCCTACGTTATAGCAGAGATATGCCCACACAGAGCCATTTAGGGTGAGGACCCAAGTCAGTTTTTACTTGATGTTTGCCTAGAAAATCAGGAAAAAGTCCCTAGGCACTTAACTTTAGGGGCAGAGTGAAAAGAGCCTGGATAAAAGAAAAAAAGCTGGAAAGATTTAATTGCTGTGCTGTGTGATGGGTTTAATTTCCCATAGCACGATATTGTTTCTAATTACTGTTACGGAGGCTCAGTTGCGCTTCCGTTTTGCTTTATTTAATCATGTTAGGATCCCTCCTAAGTCTGCGGCTGCTAAATTGACCTGCTCTCATCATCACCCAAAGCAAGGTGATGGGACAGATTTCATGCTGTGCACAATTTTCAGGATTATTTCTGTACTCTTATTTGTGAAGGCGCATTGTTCTCCCTTCCTGGCCCAGACCTGCTGGAAGGAGTTCACTTTTGATTTCAGTTTAGAAATCTGCCATTTCTAAAATGGTGAAAAATATACACCAAGTAACTTTATATGCTTTTAGACCCTTAATCAGACAAAAATATGTTCTAATAACTGTGGTTATAACATGATTATTACCAAAGTGCCATGTTTGTGGGAATGATGTCTGCCAGGTAAATGAAAGAGCACCATTTGTTTCTGATACTGCTTTTGTCCTAAGGCTCTAATTTTGTAATCTAATCAGTGGAGAGATCCCCACTGTTCAGGAGCAAATAATTGCAAGCACTTAGGTGCTACAGGCACTTTTTGTTCACAGGAGAAATCTCTTTGCTGTTAGTCTAGTTACCTGTATAAATAAAGTTATCCGGGTACTTAGGAGTTTGCAGAACTGGACCTTAATTTTGCTGAATCGATAGTTAACAGTAGCTAAACTGTTTTGTTAACAGTAGGTTTTGGTTGCTCCCAAAAAACAAACTCCACAGGGTGTTCAGTACTGCAGCTTCGTGTTTTTACAATTTGAAATGTATTCAATGGAAAAAAAATATTTTGGGATGGAAACGTGGTCCCATTGAACCAAAATATCTGAAGAATTCATTTGGGTCTGGCTTGCATGCTAGATTTCACATGAAAAAGGGATTTGTTGGAATTAAAATATTTTAAAAAATAAATGTTTAATGTATATTTTTAATGTGCATGCTCTGGTTGCTCACGGGCGTTGCCGTCTCTTCAGGTCCATAAGAAAGCTGGTTTGTAATGTTAATGGGGGAATGTGACCGGAGAGACGTGGAATGGAGGGAAAATAGTAGAGAAGTGACACAGTTTCTTCTTCCTCTCTTGCAGCACGCGCAGCCTCTTTCCCTTCAGAGGCAGTTTGTTCAATTCATTGCATTTCTGGGAAAGGGAAGGGAATGAGTAAAAATGCATGAGTGCAAGTGAGTGAAGGGAAACCTTGCCAGGGTGAAGCAGCTTGTGCATTGGTGACTGTGTGTAGGAAATTTGCTGATGCCAGTCTTCGTAGCGTACTATTTATATAGCCTTATGTAGTCAGTATTTTCAGGCAGAGGTGGCTTGGGAGATAAGATGCCTTAAACACACATGGGAATGTACTTCCTCACAGAAGGGATGTGCTTGGAAAACAGCAAACACTGTGCTTTTGAAGGACTCTCCAGATGTGTGAGAAGCAATATTTGTTTGGTACGGTCTTTAGGCATGGGCTACACAAACATCCTCTCCAGAGGTGTAAGACTTTGCAGGTCTGCTGGAGGTGCAGAGGGAAGGATTTCTTCAGAGCTCATGTGTGGGCAGGAGGTTTTGGGACTTGCCTTTTGGGGCTCTCGGAAGCTGCAACAAACACTGCTCCTTTTTGGCATGGCTGCTTGTACCCACGTGAATCCTGAGGCTGGCACGCTGCCTTAGCAGGCGAGTTGTTCTGTCCTGCAATAGCACAGGCTGTGAAAGACCATGTGGTCACAAACCTCTGCTCCATCCATTCGTGTGCAACAAGCTTGTGGGAGGAGCTGGGCCTCGCTCTCACTCGCACACACTCGTCTCACCGTACGGCAGGGAGGATTAAAACATGGCAGGCAGCAGGCAGCTCGATGCACCGTGAGTGCACCCACCTTTATTTTGACTGCATGGTGTGTTTGGTCTTAGGCTGTGCAATAGCATGACAGCTTGATTTACCACGTTTGCAATAATGGAGTTCACTTGCATGAGCTAGCCGTGAACATTTTCGTCCTTTGTTTCTGAAAGTTGTGTGTGATCGTCTGAGGCCCTGTATGGCTTACGGAGTCTGATAAAGTAAATGCAGGGGCAGGTCGGAACTACAGGCTTGGTTGCAGCAGATAAACTAATGACAAAATGTTTGTAGGATGCATATGCATGAGAGAAACACAAATCCACGTGTGTGGGGCAGTTGTGGGGATCTAGTTTACTGGTATATGTATAACTTAGATCCTGCTTGATCTGACCAGGTTGCCCCTTTGTGGGGAGAAGCCAGTGGGGAGTAGCTTAGCAGTCAGGCACAAAACCCACGTAGCTCTCAAGAGGTAGGCGCAGCTCTTGTACCATCCTGGCCACCCCTCTGTTAAGCAGCGGATGGCATGCCGATCAGTATGTATTGCCAAGTCCTAGTGCTGCAGTGCAGGGCAGATACCAGCCCGGGCAGCGTCTTACCGCTTTGCAGAGGAGCAGTAAAATACGCCCTCCTCTGCCTTCTCCCTACGACTTCCTGAGCCTGCCTGCCCTGCACTGCCAAGATGACGGGAGCTCCATGTGAGACTTGCATTGCTTCTCCCTCCACCTTGGCGCACAGCTGGGGATGGTGAGGGCAGGACTTGGTTTTGTGGCTCATCTGAATAGGGGGCATTTCCAAAAAAGGTGAGTGTAAAGCATGATAACTGTCAGTACCCGTCCTTGAGGACACTGGTGCTGGAGTGTCTGTGTTCCCACCTGAGGAGGTGGAATAACTATTGCACAGGCTCTGCGGGGTGATTTCTCCATCTAGGCAAACACGCCCTTACTGTAACCCTTTGGCTTCTGGCCAGCTGCTGATGCAGTGCAGGACGTCACAAAATATTGCATGACCAGCACAGGAAAAGAACCTAGTGACAGGAGCGTCCCAGGGGAAGGATTCCCAGTGGCAATTCCTACCTACCAGACTCTGCTACCTCTTGACTTCCCATGAGAGAGCTTTCTCTTTTTTTTGAAAAACGGTTGAAGCCGGAGAGGATGGTAGTGCTGAAAACTCTGGGAGTCCAGAGATCAGCTGATGTCCCATGGAAAAGCTTCCTCTAAATGCATAGTAAGAAGAAATTTTCCATTTGATAACACGATCTCCAGTCGGTGTCAGCCATGACCAAAGGAGATGGCAGAGAGAGCAGGAAGGCCCCCGTGCTATGTGCAAGCACCCTAAGGCCCAAGTCCTGCCTGTAGCTTTCACAATGACTTCAAAGGGAGCTGTATCTGAGTAAGGTGAATGGGATTCGGCTTCATACCAAAAGTCAAACCTCAGGGAAAAGTCAGGAGAGATGCTTGTGTAGGCTAGTCCCAGAATATTGCCTGTGAGAGTCCTAAGGGAGGCTATGCTAGAGGGTTGCAGCTTTTACTGCTCCCCAGGCTGAGCTCACTGGACACGCCAGGCTGCATAGAGCCCTCCGTGCTGTACCCAAAGCTCCCTTTTGTGCCAACTTCTCTCTACAATTTTAGGAATTGACTGCATTTCCAGCTCCCCCATCTCCATCTGCCAGTGCCTGTATAGGTATCCCTCTCTCTCCCTGCCAAGGGTCCCGTGTACCCCCTGCCCGAGCTCCACATGCCTTCCATTTCCCTCTTTTCTATGCCATTGTCCTCACTGCCAGGGGATGTGTGCCTCTCTGTTCCCTGCTTTCCCCAATGGCTCATTTGCTATTACCAGGGGTCCCATCCCCTCTTACCCCTTAAATTGGCAGCTCCGCCATATTCTCCTGCCCTGCCAGGCATTCTCTGTGTCCTTGCTCCACTGACCTCCCCGTTCTTCTTTCTTTTCCTTCTGTCTGAAAGGTAGGTCATCCGAGGAAGCAGCATTTTCAGTGATGTTGGGACCAGGTGCAGACCTGAGATAGGGGTGCCATGCTGAAGCTCCCGTCAGCTGGTCGTTCACTTTATCAGCTCTTACGGAGGTGGCCAAAGCTATTGAGTGTGCTAACCAGATGCAAGAGGCTCCACTTGTCCTCAGTGTACCCATTGCAGGTTTTCCCATATCAGCGTTCTGCCCGTTGCTATCTAGAAAGTGTTAAGAAATTAAGGCATTTCTCTATGTGTAATGCAATTAAACTATACTCTGCATGTGTGGGTAGCCAACTCTGTGGGTTGCTAGTGTGGAACCAGGGCCCCCGGCCATCCTCATCCACTTTTTCTTGGCTAGGAGAGCTGCAATACAGGAAATGCAGCTAGTTATGTAAGTTGAAAGATAACAGAACAAGGAGCCAGTGGTCTCAAGTTGCAGCAAAGGAAGTTTAGGTTAGATGTTAGGAAGAATATTCTCACTAGGAGGGCAGTAAAACACTGGAACAAGTTACCCAGGGAGGTGGTGGTAGCATCATCCCCGGAGGTTTTTAAGACCTGGCTAGACGAAGCCTCGTCTGGGATGATGTAGTTGGGGCTGGTCCTGCTCTGAGCAGGGGGTTGGACTAGATGTGACCTCCTGAGCTCCCTTCCCACCCTCATCTTCTGTGATCTATGTTTCTATGAAATCAGAAGGATCTTAGTCCTGGAGCCATTTTGGGACCTAGTAAAACCTGGCTCTAAGCGCGGTACAAAAAAGGAACCAACAACCTTAATGATGAGAAGTGAAACATTGATTTCCTTTACAGCGTTTCAAAGGCTTTGTTTTGATGACCTTGGGCGGGCAAGAATATGTTTAAAAATATAAAAGGCAGGTGCTCCTCTGCACTGTTCACTTTGGGGGAGGAGCAGCAGAGGGGCAAGAAAATGACTGCTGAAGCTGTGTATGGGGAATTGTGGGGGAAGCACAGACTCGCATCCATCCTCAAAGTGGTTTTGTGTCTGGTGGAACTGCAGCTAGCAGCAGCAGTTGGGCAGGGTGCAATGATGAAGGGCAGTGGTGTCAGCTGAGTTTTGATGGAGGTAAAAGTAAAGAAAATCATCCTCTTTGGATCTGTCCTCTGGAGATGCATGTGTAATAAACCTGGTGTTTATGGCTGTGGCTTCTGTGACAAAACCGATGATTTAGAATAACCTGGACTGTCACTCAGTTTTGCTCATTATCATGACTTGTTACAAATGCAACTTGCTAGCTCCAGTGTTGGACTTCATATCTGATTTTATTAAAGCTGACTTAAGGAAATTTGAGAAGCAATTTTCTGAGAGCACGTGCTAAATATTTGTTTGACCTGGCAGCCAAACTCTTTAAATACTGTGTTTAGGTCGTGAATAAAGCAGCAAAACAGGAGGGGAATTTCTTTTGCCATAGCAATCCTAGAGGGCACTCAAAAACAATAGTAGTTTCAATGCTTTTGGATGCAGGTGGGTGTTCAAATTGACAGCATCCAAGTTCTGTGAATCTTCCCTGTGCCTCCTATGGGCATAGCACACTAGAGGGAACTCTTCCCCACTTTATCCAGTAGTGGAAGCTTCCCAAACCCAGATGTCTTCAGTTTCTGCACTGAAACTACAGATGAGCCATGATTTGCCCTAAGTGATTATTACAGGCAAAACCTTATGAAAAGAATAGAATGCACTTGTTAATGCAGCATTTCAGTAAAAACTAAGGGCACTATCTTGTGGTGCTGTAAAAGAAATGATTAGTTACTCTGTAAAATAAGGGATGGATGATTGAGATGTGGCATCCTTTAGCTGTGCTGCAAGCTGTCACAGATCAATGTCTTTCCTCCCAGATTTTTCCCATGTAGGTTATTACTATACTTTGTTGTTTTTTTTTCCTCTCTTAATGAACAAGCTAAAATTAAGTAAGAATTGTCTTAAGTTCCTATGTCGGTAAATTTTCAAAGGGGAAAAATTAGCTTTGGATTTTCTTTTCAGATGAGAGAAATAATGCCTGGAAGCTCTTCTTTCCAGTCTCTGCAAGCCAAAAAAAAAA